TCGGAAGCCCTCGACTCCTTCGATCCCTTCCCAGTGCAGCCTGCGTCCGGCCCCTCGGCCAGGAAGAGGTACCGCCCCAGACGAGGTCGTGGGAATCCGAACGGGCCACAGGAACAGGATCACAAACACTAACACTCTTCTTTCACTGTTGCTCTCAGCTCCTCGGACTCCCTGGCAGAGCTGGACCCCTTCAGCTCCCAGACCGTGACCCCAGCCATCAGCAAAAACAGGTACAGAGACCTCTGAAGTACTTCAAACTGCCACAGGGTGGCGGTGCACAGTAAACATCAGTACCAAACAATTTATACTGTATGTATACATCTGTGAATGTATATTAAGTATTTTCCATGTATGCTATAAAGCTGTATATTATTCTGATTTACATAGTATTTCTTTACCTTTCATTTTCTGCCCCCTAACTCATACTGTGCCTGTTGTCTTCCATGTGTCTGAAAAAGCCACTGTTTCCTGATTGTTATTGAATTGGCGGAGATGTAATTCATTCAGGGAACTGAATTGAACTTGATTGCCTTCTCTGGCCAATGTGTGGAGCTTCTGGACTGTTCCCTCACTCTCTCTCACTCTGTCAGCTCTGAAGAGCCCCGGTCCCTCTGGGACGAGTGGGAGACCCCAGAAAAGACACAGGATGTCGTCAAGAGCACTATCAGCAGGTGAGACTTCCTAACACACACGCACAGTGGTGATAGAATTACAAAGCTGGTTAAAATCCAAATGTATGATGGTTAACTTACACATGCCCCTTATACTGTACTTCCAACTTTTGTGGGTTTGGGTGATTGTCTGAATGACAGTCCACTGTTAAATTAATCACTGATACCTGAGCTGATTTGTGGCTAAAATGAACTCACATGCCTTGCTCAGCAATTAAACAAAGATCAAGAGAATATAGGAGGCGCTTCTTTGCACAAAGAGATGTGGATGTCTGGAGCAACCAACCCAGCCACGCAGTTGACTCTGCTTCCCTGGGAGCTTTGAAGGAGCAGCTGGATACAATCCTCAACTCATGAAAGAATGAGTTACATGGCCTTCCTGGTGCTGTAGTATTTTTAACATCTTTCAGGGATGATAGCCAGCCTCTGACCAGACTCTTCTCCCCTCCAGATCCACTGACCCGAAGACAGAGGCTGACCGTCCCTTTGATGTGGATTTCTTTTCTTCTTCCGACACCAAGACCAGGTGTGTCACACATACTGTACATCACTTCACTGTGCACACCTTTAAACACTGAGACTCGGGGCCTTTCCAGTCTGCTTCCTCACTGACTCCCAGCCCAGATCTAGTGCTGTCATGTCCGGAACCTGAGAATAGCTCTCCACAGGCCAGAGGTGTTCAGCTCTCTGATAAAAACCTTCGAGAGACATATTGTGACCCCCATTTTTTAATCTGTAATCCAAATACTCTACACAGTAGTAGAAGCAGTGTGGAGCAGTGGTCAGGGTTCTGGACTTGTAACTAGAAGGTTGCAGGTTCAAATCCTAGTTGGGGCACTACTGCTGTTGCCTTGAGCAAAGTACTACACCTGCATTGCTTCAGGAAAATGCCAATAGATGGACTGTGGGTGCAGCAGCAGCTGTGATTGTAGCTTGTTTTAGAATGGGGCGTGTTCCTGGAAGAGAGGGGAGGGGCACAGCCGTTATTCACAAGAGTTTCGTACAGAATGTAATGAACTAAGAGGGTGTTCCCTCCATCTCTCCCTTTAACTCAGTCTCTTCTCCATGTTCCCCCTTCTTCCATCCTTCCAGACCCTGTTCCTCTTCCTCTCTAACACTGTCTCATCTCATCAGTGTATACCCCCAACCTGTCAACCTGAGAAAACAACTTTTAATTTTTTAGTAAAAAAGAGAAGATAACACTGTTCTGGAGTCAATCCACAGTCCTTAAAGAATGTCTTACACTGACAGGCTGAAGAAACTGAACTTTTTTAGTTTTGAACAGAGAAGACAACGAGCAGACCTGATCCAAGTATTCAAATCACATGAGTATTGATAAAGTCAACAGAGCTAACATCTTCAGAATCAGCAATCAACCAGGAGCCAAAGGGCACAATTGGAAACTATGTGGAAGGGCATTTAAACTCAAGAACAGAAGGCATGTCTTTACACAAATGGTTGTGGGAGTGTGGAACAAGCTGCCCCGACATGCCTGTTGAAGTCAACATCCTGGCTTGTTTCGTGTTATCAGGTTCAATTACAGCTGTGTGACCTCTGTGGTGTTTCTGTATCAACTTGAGCTCTCTCTCTCTCAGCTCTGCAGACACCCAGTCCCCCTGGCACATGTGGGAGACACCAGAAGGGACCCAGACTGTCACCAATGTCACTGAGAACAGGTGAGACACACACACATACACCCTGCCCAGTGCTTTACAAACAGGTATTAAAAATCAGAGAAGCTGAGGCAGGTTTAGATGTTTGGCTTCTAGAAGCTTATGATTCTGAAAATCTTGTGCAGTCTTTCGCTGATAAAGGGGGGTCCCCCATTTACTTCAGTCACTTGTGGGCAGCAGTTGAATTTGCTTAGGGGGTGGTGCAAAGGATCACGTGACTTATTGATTTTTGGAATCATATGATCTCAGTTCCATTTAACGCAGCAGAAACTCCACAATGCTGAATAAAAGCAGAATCATGCAATGAGCTGTGTGCATGGAGCAGAGATAGAAAAATGCTGTGAGTGGCATTTATACAAGATTGGCTATATAGACACTTGTTTCTTGTGTTTGTGCACACAGTGAAGACAGCGAGGCGGATGAGACCCTGGATGAGCTGGCAGATGATGTGATTCCCATCGATACCACTACACGGAGGTACAGGAGATACTGGGAAGGAAACGAAAGCATAATCAGATTTACAAACAAGAGGAGGCCATTGCACAACAGATCTCTTTAAAAAAATCAATGAAATGTTTTATATTATTTTAAGATTTTAAAGATGTAAAACTATTGTATCCTGAGATATACAGAGGGAGGACACTCTGATTTATCTCTTTAAGACCCCCCTCTCTCTCCCTTCTCTGTGACTGTCTGTCTTAGCCTCAGTACGTACCGATCCTACAGCTTTGCAGATGAGACCCACAAGAAGGAGCCTCTGAGCACCCACAGCAGGTAAACACACCCATGGGACCACATGGAGGGACTCGTTTCAGAGGTGGTGGTCTCATACCCATCTGACTTTGTGGCTCCTGTCTTTCAGAACTGAGGACCCCTCTCAGGAATCCCAGCCAGACATTGTCATCTTCAAGAAAACGTAATTCTCTCCGTCTGTCCAAACTAATCTAATCTACTCTGTCTAGTTGTCTGTCCAATATAATATAATCTCTCTAATCTGTTTTCTGTCTAATCTGTCTCTGTGGGTGAGTAGAGCACAAAGTGCAATCTTCTACAGGACACCACTGTCTAATGTAGCAGAAAGCCACTGAACACTGTAAAATGCAGGGACACCCAGGGAAGCAGAATTCAGCACAACAGCGTTACAGTGTAATGTGATACAGGGCATTACAATGCCATAATTCAGATTACAGATCACCTAGGATGCAGTAACACACAATGCAGTGGAGATGAGAATCCTGGTGGATGACACTGTCTCTCCCTGTGTCTCAGCTCCTCAGAGGATGACTCTCCCTGGGACAGGTGGATGTCTCCTGTCATTTCTGACAGGGGAACGACCACCAACAGAAGGTACAGCCACACCGGGGGACAGGGGCCTGTAGCAGAGGATGTATTTTACATGACACTTCTATTGTAAAATGACTTTGAAATATTGCCATGCCTTGAAGGGTATATTTAAAATATAGAAACATATTTGAGGTGTACTCTCTTGCTATGTGTTAAACGAGTTTGCTGAAATTAATCTCATTCTCTTTCTCTCTGCCCCCCCAGCCAGGACACTGAGACCAAGACTCTCACCACTGTCACTGAGATCAGGTGAGACAGATACTGGTGCTCAGACAGGGCCCCAGACACAGAGTGACATAGAGACAGACAGGACAGAGACAGAAAGTATCACACAGTGTCACACAGTTTCAGACAGGTCACAGCCGGGTGGACGGTATCACACAGAGGTGGACAGAGCCCCAGACACAGTGCTTCATAGAGACAGACAGGTCAGAGACAGATGGACAGTATCACACAGTTTCACGGATAGACAGGTCAGAGACAGATGGACAGTATCACGCAGTTTTCACAGACAGATCACAGATGGGTGGACAGTATTACAGTTTCACAGACAGGTCAGAGACAGATGGACAGTATCACCCAGTTTCACAGACAGACAGGTCAGAGACAGATACTCGCCCAGTTTCACATAGAGACAGACCAGAGGCAGATAGACAGTATCACCCAGTTTTCACAGACAGATCACAGATGGGTGGACAGTATCACAGTTTCACAGACAGGTCAGAGACAGATGGACAGTATCACCCAGTTTCACAGACAGACAGGTCAGAGACCGACAGTCACACTGAGGCAGATAGACAGGTGATATTAGGAGATATCGGCGTTAACAGTATCTGTGTGTCAGAGCACTGAGGAGAGGTGGGGCCACTGCATAGACAACACCTCTATTTGACAGAGTAGGAGAGACTTAGAATCTGGAACGAGTCTCTAGGGAAGCATTCTTCAACTTTCTGGCATTACACGGTCAGAGAGCAGCTACAAAACCTTCGCCTGGACAGGACTTTCTCACGACACTCGTGAGAGGAGGATTGCCTTAACACAACTCCAGCAGCAGCAGTGTGAGAAGACAGCCGGTTTGGGTAGCCAGAGACTGAAAGACGCCAGCCCATTGACAGCCCAGGGCAGCCCGTGAAGCTGGGACAGACCTCTCCCGGGACTGCTGCTGACACTCCGCCGAGCGCTGCTGTGTTTCCACCTCCGAACTGAGCCTGTGTCTTCTCTCCCTCTCCGCACAGAGAGACAGGACCTCGCAGCTCCTCGCAGAGCCTCATGGAGAGCACTGTGCCCCAGAGCAGGTGAGCCTGGAATTCAAAGCATGTCTCCTCCTCACTGACCCACTCGGACACACACACACACACACTCCCTGCACCGGCATAGGGCAGGCCAGAGATTTAAAGAGACATACAGCTTGCAGGTTGGAGTCACAGACATAGTGGGGAAATTGAATGAAAGTAGAATCAGTTGGTTGTGTGTTGGGAATGTGTTTGTTGTCTTATACTGAGCAATTTGGGTAAAAATGGTTGAAAAATGGCAGGAGGAAGCACATGCAGGCACAGAGCCGTACTCTCCTTCCAGCCAGAAGCACAACACCGGGCGAGAGATTAATTTACGGCTAGCCGTGTCAGGAGACATGACCCCCCCCACTGTAAACTGGGGCTGTTTTAATGTTTTGCTCCACTCCAAACTGAAGGACAGTATGTGCGGCACTTTAAAAAAAGCATTCTGGCTGCTACATACCATTCTAAACCCTCGCTCATATAGAGTATTCAGTGCAGTGTGTGGTAGCTAACATGGTTGACGCTTGCAGCCAGCGAATGAATTAAAGGGGACAGCGCTCCGGTGAATACCTTTCTCATTACCGTCAGCACTGCGGGACAGTAACATCCAAACTATTCTCTGTGCTGGGTGTGGGACAGAGAACCACTCCCTGTGGAACAGCGTTCCTACCTTCTGGGTCAGCCAGACTGGTCCAACCTGCCAGGCAGGTGGAGTCTGACTGAGGAGCCTGACCCCATGCTGCTCCTGTGTGTGTATGTGTGGATGTGTTGGTGGAAGGGGCCAGATCGCTGCTCAGTCTGCTCAGTCCCAGTCTGCAGGGCTCTGTGAAATTCAGTGCTGATCTGTTCTGAGAGGCTTTTAAAAGAAGTATTGCTACCACTTCTTCCATGTTAATATATTATAGAAAAATGCGGTCATTTAATTAATTGTATTCTGACAATAATTGTCTTTGATTATTGGGGAGATGCTCAATAGTTAGACATAAGCTTTGTTGATTCTTTAATTTAGGGCTGTCCAGTCCTTGTCTCTTCAAAACAGCAGCACCTGAAGAACTGGGAGAAATAGTTCAATTTGTCCAGTGAAGACAGGAGAGAGCTGATGTAGCGCATTAAGAGCTGCAGAGAAATTAAAAGCTTCCAGAACCATCACTGGACAGCCTTGACTCAGATATCAAATACATCTCAATAGAGCAGCTTGATGGTTAGTTTGAGGTTTCAGGCTGAAGCTGATCTTCAGGAGGTCATTTAAAAAGACCCAGCAGTATCACCTGCTGTGCAAAGATGGCTGCCTGCACTACTCTTCATGTGAATGTAACTTTGCTCCTCTCCTCTCTCAGTTTTGACCCGTATTCCAGGACTCTGGAGACCTCCTACACCCGCTCCGATTCCCCGGAGAGTACAGAATCCAAGAAGTGAGTGTTAGGAGAGAGGCGTAGTGCGCATCTCTTCTGTCGGTCCTCAGGAGCCCTGCCTTTCAGTCCCAGCATAGCTCTTGTCGTGGTGATGGTGGTGGTGGATAATTCCAGGACATGTCAATAAAGAAGAAAACAGGGTTTGTCTTGTCTTGTTCGTGTGTAGCCCTCTCTCACGGCCTCTCTCTCTGTCCCGCTCAGGGGTTACGTGTATGTGAAGGAGTATGTCAACACCACAGAGATGTCCAAACTCAACTCTGGAATCGGTGACTATAGAAGGTACCTGTGTTGTGCTTTTATACCATAAAGGGCTGCCTGCCTGATCTGTGTGGGTAGGCTTTAGGTTCTGACCCCTTTGTCCATAACACAAGTTCACCTAAATTACCTTGGGATTCTGTGTCACCACAATCTGGGTTGTAACTGTATCTGCATTGTGAACATGGTGACTGGAAAGTTCTTTCAAGAGCACTGAGAATCCCGCCCTGGCTCTTTCACACTATTGTGAAGTCACGAGTACTGAATGCAACTTGTTATGAATGGGGTGCCCCTCCTTCAGCAAATCCCTCATGCCTTCTCCTTTTCTTTCAGAAGCTTCACTGATGATATCACCCCCAGCTCAGTCAGCTACGCCTACAGCAGCCCAACATCCACCTACCGCAGGTGAGGCTCCTGGCTCCTGTCCTGTAGCTCTTCTCACTTAGGAGGCCAGACCGCTGGCAGTAACACTGGTTGCCTGGGGCTCCAGGGAGTTTGAATTGTTGTCTCCACATGGTATTCTTTCTGTACTTTTGGTTTCTGCAGTAACATCTTCTTCTGAGTAAAGTCTATACATTCTGGCCGCTGTGTAACTGCTATAGCCCCACTGTCTGCTTTGGAGCCGAAGAGTTCTTCAGAGCTCTTCACGTCTAAAACAATACACATCAAAAGCAAAATAATAAAGAAAAGAAATCGATGTACCTCTGGTTACGAGTTACATAACAAAGCCAAATGTTTTAAACGAGTCAGTAGGATCTTTTGTAAAAGCGCAAATGTACACGTTTAACCGGTGATAAGATCTGCTGGTGCTGGAATGGTGGTGACCAGGAATGTGGAAATCGTTCAGGGTTCGTTTCTGATAAGAGCCGTCTGTGAGGGATTTTGCTTAATGTCAGTGTGGCTGATGGCCTGAGACTCACATGATTTCTGCTTTAGAAATCTGCCACGATGCCCTCCTCCCCAAAACCCTCTTGAATTCATCTTCATTGCTACAATTAGATGTTCTGTTGTACCAAAAGATGCTGAGCAAAGGGTAAAACGTTGTTTAGGCAAAAATACCATCTCAGTGAATTACTCCTTTTGGTTTAGTAATGCTTGTCTAGGTTTGTCAAATTTCTACTGATTGCAGGAGTGAAGGCAGTCTGTCTGTAAGGCTATGCCACCTAGCGTCTTCTTGTAACCTCTGACCTTGCTGCGTGTCTCCCGCAGCGTCACGATGACCCCATGCACGTACTGTGGAGAGCTGGTGGGAGAGGATGCCAAGATCACCGTCGAGCACCTCAATATCTCCTGCCACCCCCGCTGCTTCAAGGTACCACTCCATCTGCCGCACGGTCCCAGCTGGCTGCCTCTGGACACAGCTCCCAGCCTATCAGTACATTCAAAACTGATCCTTAAACCTACGCCTGACCTTCAGGCTAAGCAGAACCCCAAGAGCAGTGATTCTCGGCTCTGGTCCTGGAGACACAGTGTGTCTGCTGGCTTCATATTCCAACTTTGCTCTGCATCCATAGTGCTAAATTACTTAATTGATCTACTTGCTTTTTTAGACTTTAATTTTATTTGTTTTTTTGGTCAGTCCTGAGTGTCCAAAATGCCCTGCTTTAAAGGGAATGTTTCTGATAACTTCAGCCACCAAAACCTCTTGCAGCCTCTTCTCATTCAGCTCGCTGTTCCTGACTGAACAGAGACTAGAGGATGACACTTTCAGATACACCCACAGTGGGAGTGACTCTACTGGACCCATCTGAAGCGGGGGTGGCACTGTTCTGGACACACCCACAGTGGGAGTGGCTCTGTTCTGGACACACCCGTAGTGGGAGGGGCACCATTGGACCAGCCCACAGTGACCATTTCTTCCTTATGTAGAGGCCCAGTTAGTTATACTTCAGATGACACATCCGAAAGATGGCGGTTCTGAAATTCAGAATCTGGTGCAGAGTTGATACTAATACCAAATCCTATCTGACAGTTTATTTTGCAAATATGTCCCTAAAAGAAATCTAAAATGGAGCAAAAAGCAGAAGAGGCAGTGTTTCTGGGCAGCCATGACACTGGTCGCCCAGCGTAGAAGAATGTTAGTACACCTTTTAGTAATACATCCAATTTTAGAGGGCAAATAATATCATTTAAAAATGCCATCCTCATAGCTGGTCCTGCCACCCCAAATATAATATATCCTGGCTGTGCCACTGATGCTTGGTGCATTGCCAGGTGTCTGTCTCTAGCCCTGACCTGTGTTGTGTCGTTGCAGTGTGGAGTCTGCAGCAAGCCGATGGGAGACCTGCTGGGGAGCATGTTTCTGCATGGGGGATTGGTGCACTGCAGCAGCTGCTACGAAAATGTGATCTAGGTACGAGACTCGAGGGTGGGAGGGGTAAGGTGGGGGGGTGAGATGTTTAACAGCACTACGAAGCACTACGAAGAAGAGTGCACACAAACCTGAGCTTCACACAGACACGGGCCCTCGGTCCTCTGCCCCAGCTCTTCGGAACCAATCCAGACTGGGGACTGCCGCCCTCCCTCCTGCCACCAGGACAGGAGCCTTGTTTTGTCGATCTCACGTGTACAAAATGCCACATTTCCGAAACACACTGATGGTCTCTTTTTCTGTGCATTTTTACAGATGTGAAAGACCGGATTGCATCAGGACGGACAATTTGCATCTTTTTGTTTGTTTGTGTTTTTTACAATCTTTCTACTTTGACTATAATGTCTTGTTCGTATTGGGAAATCGCAAGTGTGTACTTTTAAAAAACGTTTAGGAACAGACGGCATTCAAAACGATTTACTTCGTGTATAAGCGATGCAAGAATCTTGAGCTGCTGCTTGCTGCCTTATCCCAAGAACAACTCAGAGTCTGACTGGTGATCTTAGGCGCTGTGCCCCATTGTCCTTAAAGCTCTTTGGATAAGAGTCATTTTTAACAATGTTTTGGATTTCTTGTCAATTTAGTCTTTATTATGCACGATGCCCTTCTATGCTAAACAGTTGTTAATGTCCACTAACTGTATGGACCTTGGCTTTAGTTCCCCTGTGAATAGCTCATTTGTACCTAAAACTAACATTAGCACAGATTTCTCACTGGGGCTCCCAGGACTTTGGGGGTCTGGGGTGTATATCCCGCAGCACATGTGTAGTACAGGAAATAAGCACCCCCAGAACAGCAGACTTGGTACATTTTTCCTGCATTAGTCCCATGTCTTTCCTACAAAAAAATAAATCTTTCGGCCTGCAAAATCATCTGCATCAGACCTTGCACGACGCACAAGGCATAGCTAGCAGATACAGGTTTGTTAGTTTTCTTCTCTTTTTCATCTTTGATGCACTAATATCCGCTTGTGAAAGGCACTCATATGAGCATTGCAGAGTTGTACAAGCAATATTATCAGTGCAATGTTGCCTGTAAAACACTAACAGGTAGAAGTCTGCTATGACATGAGTAATGTTCTGCTTTTTGGATGGTTCACATCATGAACGACCCTTAAAACTTGCTTTTGTTTTCCTGCCTAAAACTGTTAAGACTCTGCTAATTCTGAAACAAAGCAAGCTGCTTGTCACTTCACATCAGCTTGCTCAATTCCTCAAGCAGAGTTTCCAGGAGAATGTGATCGCTAACCTCTGAGCCCAAGTAACTTGCATTTCAGTCCTGCAGTTTATGGATATAAGTGCCTAGGGTTTTTGTTATTAAGTTACTGAACAGTATTCTTTGCAACAGAACAGAGAAGTAAGTCATGTGTAGTAATCGTGATATTTTAAGTAATTGTGTTTAATAATGCTACAAAACATTTATATTCAAGAGCTGATCCTCTATTCATGAATAAGTTATACTGGGGTCTAGGGAAGGCACAATGAGTACTAATTGCATCTTAAAGGGAGGCATGCTGTCAGAAAATAAACAGGGGACTTTAGTGGTGAGCTATACAGGAGCTGAGTGCTGCACTCTGGGGAGAGGAGGGTTCTAGTACTGCAGTGCTGCAGTGTAGCAGCTCTGCAGCTGCCTGACCCCCTCTTATTCAGTTGTATCCACTGTGTGTCTTAAATAAGGATTGGGGGTGTGTATTAATAAACTGTGTTCAACAATCCATCTGAAAAGGGAGTCCTTTAATTTTCACATTACAAAAAATAATACGCTTCTTTGCATGTGTGTAAAAACAATATACATCTTTTTCAACTATACATGGGCTATATAAGATATATATTGTCTCTCCGTGACCCCGTATTGGACCAAGAAGTTAGTTACTATGGATTACAAAACTGATATTATAATGTTATTAAAAAAAAACTGTGCTGCTGAAACTGTGCAGCTGAAATGTTCTGTGGCATCTCATTACTGGATTAGGTCTATAGGATTTCTTTGGCTTGCTAACAGTTTCTCAAAGGCTGTATGCACTGAAGTTCCGACTGCACTACTGCCACTCTTGCAAAAATTAGTAAAAAAAAGTAATTTCATATAAAAACAAATAAATAGGGGGAGCGGCAGGAAGGGTTTGTCTCCGTTCCGTCACAGCACTGTTGCTGTACGTTGTTGATACTTCACTTGGCCTGCTTTTAGACATCCCTGGGCAGGCACTCTGCAGCAGAGCCCAGCTAGGTGCAGTGACCCCTGCTGTTTCTGGACACACAGATCGGCTCTGCTGTTCCCAGCTCGAGGGGACACACGCAGCTCCTCTTCGTTCTTCAGAAGCTTGAGCACCACTGGTATAAAACAAGCTCACAGAAAGAGCTCTAGATTGGCTCAGGCAGAGGCCCAAGCGCCACTGTGCTGTGTGATTAAACAGATCTCTGGCTGGAAGCAGGACAGCATAATCAGGCTGGTAACGAAGTTGGTCAAGTTCTGAAAAGACCTCATTGTGTCCCCCCTTCTCGCTCCGGTTGGCAATCCAGTGTGGGTGTTCTGCAGGGACGAGGGGACCCTCAGTGGTGCCCCGCCCTCCGCACCGCCAGCTGGTGGATGTGGTGCCACAGGAGTGAGGGGTCCGACTCATTGTGGAGGATCAGAGACTCCAGGCCCTCTGCCTGGTCCAGGCTTTGCCAGTAGTCCTGCGGCCACATCTGCGCCCAGCTGCAAAACACACACACGCCACCCTGATTATTCACAGGCATGTTGTGGAAATCTGTACGTACAACCCCATGCAGGGAACAGAGCCATGGATAAGACATATATCAGAAATGCACCGAACAGAATTTACTGCCAGCTCTCATCGTCAAAGCAAACACACTGATCTTCTGCAATTCACCTGTGAGCGTATCATTTATTACATGGTAAATTGTTTTCATACCTGTTACTGACCTGTCCCTGTAACAAAACATATCATTCTGATTAATATTACAGGTTAATCAGGTTAATTCTGCCTTCTCGGAGGAGTTTGAATGTTTTCCCTGCATTTACATGGGTTTTTGCTTGGTGTCCTGGCGTCCTGTCACAGCTGAAGACTTGCTGTCATCTCTGAACCGTTCATGTGCGTATGTGCCCTGAGATGCCCTGAAGTCCCGGTTCTAGGCTTCACCTTGCCTTGGGCCTGTTGTCAGCTGGGTTAGGCTCTGGCTGACTGCAATCCTGGACTGGACTACTTCTAAAAAGGTTCTAAAAAGGGATTTTTGTTTTACATTGATGAAACTCCTCATCAAAATGACTTTTCAGTGGTTACAATTATGTCATTTTTATGCATACAGTTTTGGGACCAATTAGGATAGCTGGGAGCCCTAGAGCACCCTGGGTGCCAGACTGTTCCAAGGGGCAGTGGCGGCATCCTCACCTGGGATTTGAACCCGTGATCAGGAGGCCCAGATGCTCCCAGGGTTGGGACTGTAGGGAGTTCGCGGACACAATGAGCTGCGGGCAGCCCAGCCCGACTCACCTGTCATTCTGGGGGATGTCCTCCGGTTGGCCATAGCCGGGGGCGGGCAGGGGGCAGCCCATGTGGGAGTTTCTGGCGATGCGGGGCGGGGGGGGCGGGACACTGGCGGGGGCGCGGCGGTGGGCGCGCTGGGCGGCCAGACGCTCGTTCTCCCGGTCGCACACGAAGCACTCGAAGCCGTTGAGGTAGTTGGGCTTGGTCATGTCGTTGACCCCCCACTCGCGGGCGCGCAGGGCCTCCCGCAGGGGCCCGTTGACGACCCCGCCGGGACGCTTGAACTCCAGGAAGCGGGCGTACGCGGCGTCGTCGGCGTCCAGCTGCCGCAGGAAGTCCGCCAGGGCGCGGGGCGAGGGGAAATCGTCCACGAGCACGGCGGAG